GCCTGAAAGTGCAAAATAGCCTTTTTTCAATTTTCCATTTTCCTTCCAAAATACAAAATGTTTGCACGCAAAAGTACACGGACCTGGTCCAATCACAATGATCTTTCTGTTTATACAAAGGCCTATTCTAAATGTATTAAAATATCTGTATCTCCTAAAGTTAAAGAGACTCATTTCAAGATAATTAATCACATTTACCCAGTGGGCAACTTTCTTAAAAGACGATTTAAATTTGAAGTTGAATCTTGTACATTTTGTAACATTGAAGATGAATCACTAGATCATTTATTTTTCCATTGTCGTTACACTCAGCAGTTTTGGTCTGATGTCAATAGTTGGCTTAATCTCAAAATGAAAATTCAACCTGTGAACATATCTCATATATTGTATTACATGGTCATTTCAGACTCTCCTGCTGAAACTGTTGTTAATGTTGTCCTAATGTTAGCCAAATATCACATCCACTGTAGTAAGTGGAGAGGGAATAAACCCTCCTTTCCCTGTTTCATCAACGAATTCAAGTTATATTATAGCTCTTTAACACTATGTTTGGATTAGATAGCGATTTGGCCTACGTGCAGGACAAGCACAAGGACTCTGACTCCATGTTTTGACTATGATATACTCGTGACTGTCTCTGTGTGACACGTACGTCTTTCCATGTGTGACGTGACAATGACTTTATTCTGTCTGAGAGAAAGAAACAATTGAAACCACTGGAACTTGAGAGAAACTTAAATAAACTTCCAGAGTTTGGCGCACCACAATCCGTCTCTGTCTGGTTCATTCCTGACAACTACTTAAGAAATATAAATTTGACAGAACGACCTCTTATTTGATTTCCAAGTATCTTTTGTTTTAATTATTCTATTGCTCAGTTTAATTGTTTAATGTAAATGTAGATGTATTTATTGAAGTGCCTCTGCCCCCTAGCTTGGTTATTTGAGTCCTCTACTTGTGTTTGTTTATGTACAGTGCCTTGCGAAAGTATTTGGCCCCCTTGAACCTTTCAACATTTCGCCACATTTCAGGCTTCAAACATAAAGATATACAATTTTAAATTTTTTTCGTGAATCAACAACAAGTGGGACACAATCGTGAAGTGGAAAGAAATTTATTGGATAATTTAAACTTTTTTAACAAATAAACTGAAAAGTGGGGCGTGCAATATTATTCGGCCCCTTTACTTTCAGTGCAGCAAACTCAGTCCAGAAGTTCAGTGAGGATCTTTGAATGCTCCAATGTTGTCCTAAATGACTGATGATGATAAATAGAATGCACCTGTGTGTAATCAAGTCTCCGTATAAATGCACCTGCTCTTTGATAGTCTCAGGGTTCTGTTTAAAGCGCAGAGAGAACCATGAAGACAAAGGACCACACCAGGCAGGTCCGAGATACTGTTGTGGACAAGTTTAAAGCCGGATTTGGATACAAAAAGATTTCCCAAGCTTTAAACATCTCTAGGAGCACTGTGCAAGCAATTATATTGAAATGGAAGGAGTATCAGACCACTGCAAATCTATCAAGACCCGGCCGTCCCTCCAAACTTTCATCTCAAACAAGGAGAAGACTGATCAGAGATGCAGCCAAGAGGCCCATGATCACTCTGGATGAACTGCAGATAACTACAGCTGAGGTGGGAGAGTCTGTCCATAGGACAACAATCAGTCGTGCACTGCACAAATCTGGCCTTTATGGAAGAGTGGCAAGAAGAAAGCCATTTCTCAAAGATATCCATAAAAAGTCTTGTTTAAAGTTTGCCACAAGCCACCTGGGAGACACACCAAACATGTGGAAGAAGGTGCTCTGGTCAGATGAAACCAAAATCAAACTTTTTGGCCAGAATGCAAAACGATATGTTTGGCGTAAAAGCAACACAGCTCATCACCCTGAACACACCATCCCCACTGTCAAACATGGTGGTGGCAGCATCATGGTTTGGGCCTGCTTTTCTTCAGCAGGGACAGGGAAGATGGCTAAAATTGATGGGAAGATGGATGGAGCCAAATACAGGACCATTCTGGAAGAAAACCTGTTGGAGTCTGCAAGGGGGCCGAATAATATTGCATGCCCCACTTTTCAGTTTATTTGTTAAAAAAGTTTAAATTATCCAATACATTTTGTTCCACTTCACGTTTGTGTCCCACATGTTGTTGATTCTTGACAACAAATGTAATTTTTTATATCTTTATGTTTAATAACCTCTTAACATCCGCCTCATTTTGGCTCGTGCACAATGGTTGGGCATACCCAAATGTCTTTGCTTATTTAAAAACACATCTTACATCTCACATGCTTGTGTGATGCATCATTTTAAAGCTAGAGCCTTCTAGTTTATGTAAAAAAACACTAAAATAATGTTTGTCATTCCTATTTTCCTCTGCATCCTTTGAAGTTAGGGAAAAAAACCCAATTTTTTTAGCCTCGCCTAACATTTTCAATGTCTAAAGGCCCTAAAAAAGGCATACTTCATTGTAAGTTCACAATATTCAAACCCTCTGTTCATTGTGTTGTTGACAACAACTGTCTAAAGTTTCAGACTTCTAAGTTTTATAGTTTTTATGCAGTTTCTCCTTTTCATCAAGTAGTGCACATTTGGCACAATTTGGCACAAGTGTGCCAAATTGTGCCAAATATCTTTACTTACATTTAATCATCATAAAAACAATATTTTTTATTATTGGTACTTATAAGTTACTAATCTATGTGTGTTTTTCTTTTTTAAATGTCAAAGTTATTTTTTTATGAGTGTAAATTCATTGCAGCTTCGAGAGCGTCTTTTGGCTTCCATTACGCACAATTGTCCAGGCACAACATAAGACAGGACACCATTGTCCCACCCCTTGTTCGAAAGCTTTCCTCATTGGCTACAAGGACATGTCAATCGTAAATCCCGAAAGTAAAAGCAAACAAGTTGGGAGCACAACAAAGATCAGTCCTCCATGCGCAAACAGCAGCACGAGCGGTACTTGCGGGAGCTATTGCAGACCCAAAAATTGGTCTAGCTTTTCGGGAGTAGTCTCATTTGAAAGATAAGGAGCTAAGGAACACGTAGACACCAGATGTTTGGGTGAAAAACAAAGCTAAAAGTCCGTTAAAAGTGAAAGAGTAACATCTGTGCTCTTTTTTTTTGTTTTTTTTGCTAAAGATAAATGCACATTTTTGGATTATTTCTGCAGAATGGATTTTACTTTGGGAAATACAAGTGGATATAATTTTCCTTTGGACTGTTCCAGAGAGAATGATGTATTGCAAGCTGGGAGGAGAGCTGATTTATTTGTACAGTACAAGCCCAAAGGTAAAACTATTTCGGAATTGATTTATTTTGTGCCCACATTATGTGTTATATATTTTGAATGCAAAGTCTGATGTAGTTTACACTTGTATATACATGTAGATAAGAAAATAAGCTTTAAAATGATATACAGCTTTTGGGGTTTGGTGTTCAAAATACATCTGCTATTGCCAGCAGAACATTTAAAAACATAAAAACGGCCGCCGGCGCGCCGGTTGTTGTTAACTGGTTTTAAAGCCTGAAATGTGGCAAAATGTTGAAAGGTTCAAGGGGGCCGAATACTTTCGCAAGGCACTGTATTTACAACTCTATCTTATCTCTATGTTCCAAAATACTGGAAACGCTCTTTGTAAATAGAATGGAGTCATTTATTGAAAAACACAACATCCTAACAATCAATATGGATTTAGAAAGGACAAATCAACTGAACTTGCATTATTGTCTGGACTAGTTTTCCTCCTTTGATCTTCCTTCATGGTCCCAAACAGACGACATATTTGTATTCATCAGTTCATTTCTTTGAATGAGGGCAGTACATATGAATGTGTCAGAAACAGCTTCAACATCAAGATGCTGGAATTAGCACAAAAGCTAAAATGCATCCTTTGTCCTAAAGCGGCAGAAGAAACACATGTTTAATATATAAGCTCTGTATGTTCATGGGGAGGCTGCACCTTTTTACTTCTTTCTCCATTTAGAGCCCACCACTTGGAAACACAAATACATTTGTAAAAACATTGAAACTGGAAATATAAAATTTTTAAATATGCTTCAATAGTTTTTATCTGCAGTTTAGTTCAGAATAATAATGTCCCACTCTGTCTCCTTCATCACATGTCAGTTTGAATCTTACACTTGATGCAGCTTTAAAGGAACCATAAGATTTTCCTTTCAGACAAAAACATGATGTATCCGAGTCTCCAGACACAAAGTAAAGATGTTCAAATCCACAATAAGTGTTTGGTCTGTAAAGCTCAGCAGCTGCAGCACAGGGTTAAGACTGAAGTGTGATCCTGTAGAGTCTGACTCTGGGTTCACATGATGCAGCCTCAGCTCTGTCTCCTTCACTTTGTGTCCACGAAGATGTGACCTTTGTGTAAAAGACTTTCCACACTTTTCACAGACAAATGGTTTCTCTCCAGTGTGGATCCTCTGATGATCTTTGAGAGAACCACTGTGAGAAAAACACTGATCACAAATGTCACAGCTGAAGGGTTTTACTCCAGTGTGAATTCTCTCATGACTTTTGTAGGAGGAAAACACAGCAAAAGTCTTCCCACAGTCTCCACAGACAAATGGCTTTTCTCCAGTGTGGATTCTGTAGTGCACAGTGAGGCTAGATAATTGTGTAAAAGTCTTTTCACACTGGTCACATTGGTGAGGTCTCTCTCCTGTGTGGACACGCTGATGTCGTGAGAGGTGGTCTTTTCTCATGAAGGTTTTTCCACACTGGTCACACTCAAATGGTTTCTCTCCTGTGTGGATCCTCTGATGATATTTGAGATGATGCTCATGTCTAAAACTCTGATCACAAACGTCACAGCTGAAGGGCTTTTCTCCAGTGTGGATTCTGCTGTGGACCTTGAGATGTTCTTTTGTAGTAAAACATGTTCCACACAGATCACACACGTATGGTTTTTCTCCAGTGTGTATTCTGTAGTGGGTCTTTAGATTAGAAGCAGAGCTGTAGGTCTTTCCACACTGATCACAGGTGAACCTCATTCTGTAGATGGACTTTGTAGATCTGCCACAAACAACAAAAACATGTCAGATCATTATAATTATATACACACACACACACACACACACACACAATCTTAATCCATGGCTGGCTTTGACGATGCGGAGGAGGCGGTTCTTTTGTCACCTCGGGGCGCAAAAGAAAAAGGAAACCAGAGGAACACGTCCGTAAACTAGCCAAAAAAGCCCGGCACAGTGGTGGCGCGACTGCAGCCGTCGCTTGTGTACATAACAACGTGAATGTTTGTCAGGCAGCCAAGTTATCCCCAGAAGACATTGAATACATACAAGAATAAAACAAGATGCCACCTAGGGATGTACCGATCAGATATTCAGTATCGGTATCGGGGGCCGACATGGGTATTTTGTAAGGATCGGATAATATTGGATTAGTTAAATATGAAGCCGATTTACGTCACTTTTCAGCATGTTCACGCTTTACGGCTGCCGTAAACTTAATACAATGTAAAGCTAGGGCTTGGCGAGAAAACGACAACGAGATATATTGCGATAGACACGTGTTCAATCTCAATAGAAAACTGGGTCGATAGAATGTTCGTTTAGCATCACTCCGTTAGAAAAACAGGACAAAAACACAGAGGCGCGCGGCATTCTGGGGGATGTAGGCAGAGGCTTCTCGACCCATCACAGCCAAGCGTGAACCGCAAAACATTCTGGGAAATGCAAAAACAACAACCGCACCATGCTTAGCGTACATGGATCTAAAGATTGTTTTTCAATGCCTTGTCAATGGTTATGCATGTCCGTGCGAGGCTCAGCATGTGCGGCGGGAGAGGCAGCGGACACAGAGACCTGGTGCATGCAGCGAAAGCATGTGATGAACTTTTCCCTCCGTGCGGCGATCAGAGAGCGGCCGCACAGAGAGCGCCCGCACGGAGCCGTCATGGAGACACAAAACAGGAGATAAACCAGGACTAACTATTGGGGAGACTGCTTGTGAACATATTCCTCGAGCCTCATTCCCCGTGACTGTAAACAAGGCTGCTAATGTGTGTTAGCCGACACGACAAACATGTTTATTCAGGTAAAAAAACATTTTAAAGTATTACTGGTAGCAAAATCTTTAATACTTTGAAAATATTAGGAAAAAATTGATCGTATCGGATCGGTATCGGCAAAACAATATTTAAGAATATCGGAATTGGATGGGATTACAACAAATCTGGATCAGTACATTCCTAATGTCACCACAGTATCGACCCTGAATTTCTCCTACGGGGGATCAATAAAGTATCAGTAAAACGGAGGAGATCAAAGGTAAAAGACTGTGCACAACAGAAGTCCAGAGACGTGACGGTGAAATATTCTGTCTTAACCAGAGCACAAGATAGGATCCCAGTCTGCAAATCCTCATTCATGAGCCTATTCTGTGAGTACTTTGAGTTCCTTCTAATAGTTGTGTAGCTTTGTCTTTTGTGTGTACGTGATATTTAACATAATGGGGAATTGCTATAAACCTTTAAGAAAACACTTCTGTGTGTATTTAATCTGGAGTCATAACATACCATTTGACAGTGATTTATAATTAACTAGTGTTTGACGTTACATTTCTGGGGCAAACACAGACTGTTCTCTGCAGTGTTTGTTTTTATCATTAACAGTAGTTGAAGCTAGTTACTGCATTTCCCTCTGGATCAATAATGAATCTATTTATTAAACTAACATTTTAGTGACAGACTTTTGCAAAGATGTAGCTATATCATTGATCTAACTTTAACAAATCTGTGATTACAGGTGTGAAGAAAGGTCGCCAAGTTTTGCAAACAGAATGGGGTGCCAATGCCGGAGCGCCGTGGAGGAGCACGGAGGTCTGAAGAGAGGGCAGCTCAGAGAGAAGCCATCAGAGAGCACATCCAGACTTTCACCTGCAGAGCCAGTCATTATGCGCGCAGAGGAGAAGAAAGTACCTTCCTGTTGATCTGAACGTTAGGAAGATGCATAGTTCCACAGTCAGAATGAGCAATCTAGTGCAACCTAAATCTGCCATTGGACAGACTTCGGAGTTGTGCGTCATCGTGGTGCAGGTTAGAGAAAAGAACACGTCCATCTTTACACATGGTTAGAAAATGAGAACAAGAAGGACAGTAACATGGTGGCATCTGCTTTGCAACATTATCGGAGTCGTGTTGCTTGTAATGAACTTAGTCACCATAAAGAACTCAGACTATTTTCTGATTCTTGCTATGGGCAAAATAAAAATGTAAACATGCTCGCTATGCTTTTTTTCTCAAAAAGCGCACACTAAAAACGTATGAATTGAATATACATTCCCTGTACATGGGCATAGCTTTATGCCCCCTGACTGTGTCTTTGGACGACTGGAGCAGGAAATTAAGAAGAATATGTGAAGATTATGGAAAAACATGGAAACGTACACGTTTATGGACAACACTGGCAGTGCTGTGACTTTAAAGCTGCTGCTGCAAAACATTGTACCTCATCTCATTTAAAATAAGTGAAGCCAAGGTTTTGGAAATCAGTGGGGACAAAATAGGCTTTAAGCCGCTGTATGGTGGAGATTTCTGTTACCACAGTCTTTAGAAACGTGGGAAAAGGTGAGAGACCTTCACGCCAGCACTGGCTCAAAGAGTAAACTGTGTGAAGGCAGATAAAAAAGCTAATGTCCTGAAACTCACAAACTTTGAGAGGACAAATGAATGAATCGATCTGAGCCCCAGTCTAATATGAAGCTACAGCTGCTTTTTTGGTTTACTTTACATGTTTTGTCCCAATAGTCTTGCCAGTTGCTATTTCCCCTTTGGACTGTGAGCTGATTGTCTTGAGTGAGGATGGTCCTTTCTCTTTCACTGAAGAACCTGATCTAAAGATGACTGAAACCAAAAATACATGCAGGTGAAATCAAACCAAAATCTACAGGACTGTTACATAGTTATTTTTTCTGGTTTCAAAGTTTTAATAAGCCGTATGTTACAATGAGTTAAAAACACAAAATGTTGCATCATTTGTTTTGTAGTGCACTAAAATGGCTCCAATGAAAGTTGTTCTTCTACATAGATTGTTTACAAGTTTGCACTTTTTAAATGTTGCCTTGACCTGGTGTTTTCAAAGGTGATTAAATATTGTGTTACAGTATCCAAATAACTTGAATGTGCTGTCACAAGTGACAAAGTGACAATACATTTAAAATGTTTTAGTAATTTTGAAGTTTGTTTTAAGAAAAATCTATTATATTGGTTCATTCAAAGATGTACAGGCTTAATCTATGTCCTTAATTTAATGTAAACGCAATCATTGCGGAGTTAACCGTTTTTGACACACAAAAAAACGATTGTTGGATTTATCTGCTTTTGTGCACAAATGTTTATGTTAAATTAAAAATATATATGATAAAGAGAGTTGTTTTTTCAAATGTCCACTTTAACTAATTGACTGCCATTGACGTGTTAACACGTCAAACTAAATAGTAACGTTGTCTGCCAATGACGTGTTAACACGTCAATTGCGTTTCCCGCTATTTTTACGTTCCCAGCTGTCCATTGAATCTAATATGTGGAGATTGGCTTGAGGCAATACTTTATGGAGCCAGCAGATGGCAGCATTGCGCTATGAATGGTTTGAACACAGCTAGATGCACTGTTTGTGGCCCTTTTTTCTCAGCTTTCTGGTGATTTCAATAAAACTTCCCTCTACTCAACTGGGGATTACAGAAGAACTAAACAAGATAGAAACAAAATTCTTTTTGCTGGTGAGAGTAGACAGCCCATTCTTTCAGAATCTAGTTTTAGATTTCAGATAGTCAAAGTACACAATATTCTGTGGGTCTTGAAAAATCAGTAAAAACCACCAGAAACGGCTGGCAATATGGGAGTACCTGTTTTGAAATGGGCTGGCAGTCAATGAGTTAAGTGTTTATTCCTTTGTTGAAGCCAGTAAAGTTTACTAACCTAAGTGTTACCATAAGGTTAAAATATATTGACAATTCATAAAAACGGAGATATCTGCTTTTGCAAATGAACATGTATTTGTGGCACTTTGAGAACCGCTAACCTGGGTGTTTGTCCCGCGGGTTTGTTATTATTGTATTTAATGTGATCAAACTGTTTGATTCTCTGATCTGTTGTTTGTAAATCTACAACTGTGTAAAGTCCTCCGAGACGACTGCTGCTGTGATTTAGGGCGATACACATTGAATTGAACTGTGTTGTTCCCGGTCGGGGGCTAATGCTAATGCTTTATCTAACAAAGGATTAAACATTATAGAAAAAACATAAAAATAGACAAAACATGAGGCGAAGTGCAATCGTGCAATAGCTCCATGGTGTTAATATTAGGGTTAAAGTAAACAGATGAATGAATGTCCATTGAACAGACAGTAAAAGATGCTAGCGGCCTGTGGCTAATGCTAACGCTAACAGCACTAGCATAACACACACTCACCGATCGCACGGAGCAGGAGCAGCTGCGGTGGTAGAAGGAGCTCTACACGGGGATCATGCAGATGTTCCCTCTGCTCCAATCAGCTGCTGACTTTATGAAGCACAAAGATCAAAGATCGTTGTTAAGGACAGATGTTAGTGGAGAATAAACGATGCTCTCACGTTGGTATCTTTAGCCTCTTGTCTGGGCATATTTATTGTTGAACAACTTGGCAGCACAGGGAGCGTGAGCCATAGAGGAAGTTAGCGACAGAACAACATGACTACATCCTGTAGCGCCTTCAAAATAAGAGCTTCTGTTAGACAGGGAGTAAGAGCGATATAATATATTATTATTTAACACCCCACTCGCTGTTAGCTCACTGGGTAAAACAATACATGCATTTACATACATTTTTACATGAGAAACATTTTCTTTGGAAAAACTTTTAGCTTTTGTCAAAAGATCAGCTATCATTTTATCAGTAGGACAATATTCCAAAACCACCTTCCCTGTGGTTACAACACCTATGAGGAAATTATCTTTCACGTCATTTGCTTGCATCTTTGTCTGTTAACAGGATTCTTTGTGAGTGTTATTGTTCCTTAGTTGTCTTCGTACTGTTGTGAGATCTGCCTATCTCACAAGTGCAGTAGCTTTGTGAGTAGTGTGTGTGTGTGTGTGTGTGTGTGTGTGTGTGTGTGTGTGTGTGTGTGTGTGTGTGTGTGTGTGGGAGCGCGCAAAGTGCTGTGGGTGTAGATGCAAACAGGAATGGAGTAAAGTGCGATCATTAAAGTGATTGTCTGGAGTTTGTCAGAAAGAGCGACAGAGAGGTACTTGATTTGAAAAGAACGACGCAAGCTCCCTCCCCCTTCCTTTCTGATTGGTCTACACCTACGTTCACAAAAAAATCAACAAAGATATTTTTCCCAGTTTTGATGCTTGTAGTAGCTCCATTTGAACAATAGCTAGCTACTACAGCCAAAATGTTGGGAAAAATATTGTTTTCCCCTTCACAGCAACAAAAATGAAATTGGAAAAATTCACTAAAAATCAACAAAGATATTTTTCCCAGTTTTGATGGGTGTAGTAGCTCCATTTGAACAAAAGCTAGCTACTACAACTAACTGGGGAAAAAAAGTATTTGTTGATTTTTTGTGAATTTTTCCAATTTCATTTTCATTACTGTGAAGGGAAAACAATATTTTTTCCCAAAAGTTTGGCGGTGGTGGAGACTATTCAGGGGGCGAGGGCGCCGTCCACGGCCATGGGAATGGCTGGTTAAGTTTAGGCATGAATAGGTAATTTGTAATATTTACTTCCGCTTCCGTCCAGATTCAGTATATGATCTAGTCATGGATCTATTTGTAGCATGTTGGTGTGGTGGTGTGGCTGCCTTCAAGGTGCGCCGTGGGCGTCACCAACATAGCTTTTAAATTCGGACGCGCGCATGGCGCGCGCACACGCGTATCTGTCTTTTTGGCATTGTGACAGCGTCTTGTTGTGCTGCCGCCGGACCGGGTCGGGGCTACATGGTCCCTGACCTCCGTGCACCTCAGGCTTATTCACTCAGGTCAGTGCGTTCCCTTGCTTTCCTTGCCATGTTCTGTGGAAGGTTCTAACACAGCGCGTCTCTTGCACAGGTTTGTGTCGGTCTGCCGTGAGCGACCGGGCTGTCTCCTCCCCCCCCCTCGGGCGGAGTGTAGGCTATAGCCGCGCGGTGCGTGTCTGGGCTTCCCCCCCCCCCTGGTAAGTGCATTTTGACCGGGCCCTCTTGGGATCTTTTACCGTGTTGCATCATCCTGACTCTATGCTGGATTTAGATTGTGAGCAGTGTGGGAGCGCGCGTATCACTTCTCGTCCCTTCCCCTCCGCCTGCCCCTCGTGTGCGTACGCAGAGTGCACGCTTAAAGGCGCGGCACAGGTTTGGGGTCTTCCCCGGGTAAGTGCCCTCTGTGTCTGACTTCTGTTGGGTCTTGGACCATGCTGATCTCAAATTTACATTAGATCCTGAGCTGCGTGGGAACGTGCACTTTCCGCCGTGCCTATTCCCCTCCTCTTGCTCCTCGTGCGTACGCGCAACCTCGGTTCGCCGGTAAGACGCCAATAAAGACTAGTTTATATATTTAAGGCAATATTATGTAACAACTTCGTCCTGTTTATTTTAGGAACGAGGCGTGTGGCTTACGGCTGTCTCTCAGGCCGCCCCCCTGTGAGGGAGGGCCGTTGTTTTGTCCTCTCTTTATTTATTTTAGTTACTTTATGTATCCAATTACAAAGGACAATTTCAGGCACCTCTGACGCCTGGTGTGGCACTTGTTCAAATGCACTAAAGCACAACTCACTTTCCAGGCTGCAGTTTGCAGTGAGTTTCGCTGCCTTGTATGTTGTTTTCGCATGTTTCTTTATGTATTTTAGTTTGCTTTGCTTATTATTAATTACAGTGTTTTGACCTGGTTTGCTTTGCATGATTTTGATTTGGTTATTGTTTGTATTGTGTATATTCTGTTTGTGTGCAACTTATTTCCCTGCTACTGTTTGCCTTTAAGTTAATTGGTTGCTTTTGACTTTTGCTCTGTCCCGAAATCAGTGTCAATTTGAATGTGCCAACTTATAGATTTTATCTTTTATACATCTAGGCCTATTTTAACCAGTTGCTGTAATAAAGGAATTTCTAGTTTATTAACACTCCTCTCTTTAATGTCCAACCTAGCGCGGTATTATTCTGTGGGTAAATCAAGAGTGATTCTGGTCCCAGGGCCCTACTCCCTGGGTGGTGTTGTTGGTATTTCTAAAATCTCTAAAACTGCTCCTGCCACATATTATAATAACTGGATAGGGTAATACTAGCTTGTAGCTGAATAACTCACGTGCTCGGAGGATTCTCGCGGTACTGCAGACTGAACCAGACTAAATTCACGAGGGCTACCCAGAAATTTTCCCAAAAATCAGAGCTGCTGATCAGAGTAGCAGGAGTTAGGGCGGGGGCCAAACGAGCAGAGTTTGTGGCACTAAAGTGTGGATTTAAAGAAAACTGAAGGATTAAAGAGGAAAAAAAGGTTAGGATGACAAGGGACACTAAAATTCCCCCAAAATCTGACCTTTGTGAAAGCTGTAGGTTCTCTGTCAGCTGAGGGTGAGCTGTTTTAGTTTACATTGAGTTCTATGGGGAAGATTTCTGGGTAGCCCAGGTGAATTTAGTCTGGTTTAGTCTGCAGTACCGCGAGAATCCCCCGAGCACATGGGTTATTCAGCTCCAAGCTGTAATACCTTATCCAGTTAATATAATAGATCCATGTATACAACGCACCTGTGGCACAATCAAGGATCTATAATAATAACTGGATAGGTTATTACTAGCTTATAGCTGTCCCGCCCGTGGTACAGCAGACTAAAATCACTTTGGCTACCCAGAAATAAGTCCCATAGAACTCAATCTAAATGTACTCAGCCTCAGCTGACAGAGAACCTACAGCTTTTTTAAAGGTCGGATTTTGTGGGGATTTTAGTGTCCCTTATCATCCTGAACTTTTTTTCTTCTTAAATCCTTCAGTTTTCTTTAAATCCACACTTTACTGCCACAAACTCTGCTCCTTTCCTTCCCGCTCTGGCTCCGCTCTTCCGCTGCTCTGATGAGCAGTTCTGATTGGTCAGAGCGCGGCCGAGCCCCTCTGTGCGCGTGCATGAAAGCCACACATGTGTATTTGGCGCAACGCATCATGGGAGATAATCCACTGCACAGAACCAGGAGGACCAGACGATGCCCAAATATGGAGAGAGGGCAAGCACGATTTGCGACTCACGGCAACTTCCGGTGACTCGCGTGGCTCAGGCGCTGTGAGTCACGGCTCAGCAGTCAGGGGCCGTGGCTCACGGTTATCAATTTTGCTTTTTAGGGGTATCTGTGGATTATTAATGACACATTGTGGATCTGGAGGCATATATTTACAAGTAATCAGTATGTTACACACTCTTCACCATCTGGTATGTGTTTACATCGCTCTCCATTTACTGTTAACCACTGACTCAGGAGCTGTGAGTCGCGGCTCAGCAGTCAGAAGTCATGGCTCACGGTTAAAAATACCACAAATCTTTGCTTTTTAGGGGTATCTGGGAATTATTAGGGGCAACGGTGACTTAATTGGCAGAGCTTTGGTCTTTGGACCTAATGATCGTGGGGTCGTGCCCCCACAACCACCTGCTCCCACTGAAGCAAGACGCCCCATCGTGGTATCTTCTATACAGTCATGGGACCTCATGAATGAGTATGAGCACAAGTATGTGGAAACGGCACAATACTAATATTGGTATTGGTGCATCCTTTGTAAAATAAACAGACTATGAAAAAAAATGTCAGTATTAGCAGCGCAGGTTTACAGTCATAGTGCAAGTAGTTGATTTGGTGATATAGGCCTAAATACAGATTATTGCAGGTTTTTGCAGGACTTATTGCATATTCTAATGAATACAACTTTTTAGGGGTATTTATGAATTATTAATGTATATGGATGAACATTTTCCATGTTATCAGTGCCTTATACATACTTTACCAGCAGGTGTTGCGCCCTCTGCTCCGTGGTTTTGGGAGAGGTACGTGGTTGCTTTGAGAATGAATAAACAGGGGAGAAAAGAGTTGCGTTCTCACTCGGCAGTTTATTTTTCAAAAAAGCCCCAGACCTTATGCGCAGGCACGTTTCACATGTCTCCGCCAACCAATAACAATGAACTTTGTAACAGATTTACTTATACATTTTTTACATATATACTTTTTATCTCTCATTAAATCTGTTTCTAATTGTTATGAAATCATGTAATACATTGCCTTTTACAATTGTTTGAAATGATAATCCTGTATTTCAACCTGTCACATACTCCCCCTCAAAATAGATGTTGTCCCCAACATCAGCATCTGTAGATTACCAAGTAATTACATCCACACAAACAAAAACAAACACTTCCATTTTTTTTCTTTTTACAGACTGGAACTCTTTTCATACATGCTTTGAGTCAAAACTCAACATTGCCAGAAGTGTCCACTTCACTTAAACACGCAACAACAAAAAATACCAACACGATATATTTCCATTTGTTTCAATCTGATGCATGTAAACAACTGAAATCAGTTTCAAAATAAAATGAGAAGTGATCCCAACATCAATAGTTCAGTGTATTTATGCAAATATGCACCCAACTCTTCAAGCAAACAAAAGTATCAACCATGTCTGTAAAACTCTTGAAAATAATAAGGATGTACATCATACAACCATGGCATGTTCTGCTCACCATTATAGGGAAATGTCATAATATTGTGACAAGTCGGTGTACCGAGTCTGTCATAGGTAAATACCCTTGGTTTTCTGTGGTCACGTCTCGGCCGCCGGCCTTCGTCTGGAGAAGGTGGCGGGTCAGGCTCCTCCCCAGGCAACACTTCTTCCTGGCAGACATCATCTGGTGGACGGTCTTCTTCAGGTTCTGTCTCTGGGAGTACACCTGCAGGCTGATCTTCCTCATGAAGTACCGACTCCGCAGTCCCCTCCTGCTGTGGCGGGGAATCAGGGCGAGTGTTACGGTGGCGTGGCACTGGATAATACTCTCCCTCATCGTCATCCTCTTCTGACTCAGTCACCTCTGTTCGAGTCCCTGCTCGTTTTGTTGTCTTTTTCTTTGGCTCCAAAGAAGCCTCTAGAGGCAAGTGGTCACATGGTAGTAGGAGATTCCGATGTAATGTTCTGGACCTGCCATTGCCTCTCAGGTTTCAGTTCATAAACAGGAATATCTTTGCTCACTTGCCGAACCACTGTGTGCACAATGTTCTCCCAGTGGCTTCTGAGTTTGCCTGGACCCCCACGTGGAGTCAAGTTCCTGACTAGGACACGATCACCCGGTAACAAAGCGGAGTACCTCAGTTTACTGTCATATAGTCTCTTACTCCTGGTGGCCGCTTTGTTTGCTTTTTGTCGTGTGACCTCATACGCATCTTTCATACCCTGTCTCCACTTATGCATGTAACTCTGATGGTCACAGTCACTCTTGCCCTGGTTTGAAGTTAAACTAAACAACATGTCCACTGGTAACCGTGGTGAACGCCCATAAAGTAAGTAAAAAGGAGAAAACCCTGTCACCTCACTTCTAGTACAGTTATATGCATACACCATTTTGTTTAGTGAGCCCTTCCAGTCACTCTTTTGTTTCTCAGTCAGTGTTTTTAACATCTGAAGCAAAGTTCGATTGAATCTCTCAACTTGTCCATTCCCTTGGGGGTGGTAGGGAGTTGTCCTCGAACCAGCAACCCCACAATACTCCTTTAGTTGGGCAAAAAGTTGGTTCTCAAATTCACCTCCTTGATCATGGTGAAGTCTCAGCGGGAACCCAAACCTTAAAGCATAATCATTAAATATTTTGTCAGCTGCAGTTTTACCAGACTTGGATGTAGTAGCATACGCCTGGGCAAAACGGGTAAAATGATCAACTATGACAAGAATGTATTCATATCCACCCTTACATTTGTCTAAGTGTAAAAAGTCCACAGACACCAGTTCAAAAGGCTGGGTGGTAACTATATTAGTAAGCGGCGCCCTTGTTTCACGGCTTGGCCGTTTGGTTTTAAGGCAGACACATTTCCTCATCACATAGTCCTCTATTTCTTTCTGCATAAAAGGCCAGTAAAAACGGTCCCTTACCAAAGAAATAGTCCTTTCCACACCATGGTGGCCCATATCATCATGTAGTTCTTTTAACACCACTGACTTGTGTTTTTCAGGGAGCACAAGTTGTGACCTGTTTGTAGTTTTTCTGTACAAAACACCTTTCTCACTGAACTGCAACTTGTCCCACTCCCTGAGGAGACACACGACTGATGGGCTAAGCTTTTTGAGTTCTGAACCTGAAGGTTTTGCTTCTGCTAGTTTGAACTGAATAATCTGTCCGACGATGGGATCAGTCTGTTGGTCTAGTTTAATCTGTCCAACAGTAAGTGGAGCTATGGGCATGCTGACAGACACAGTGGCACACTTACATGAAATACCCATCGACCAGGCTGCACTGGACTCACCCTGATAGTCAACGGCCTGTGTTGCTGCACACACAGCATCATATGACAGTTCATTTGAGCATTTTCCCATGTAAGTTTCTATGTCTAATGGCATCCTAGATAGGCTGTCTGCATCTATGTTCTCTCTACCTGGACGATATTTAACAATAACATTAAAATCGGCTAGTTCTGCAACCCATCTGCATCCTGTTGCATTTAACTTGGCAGTAGACAGTAGGCAAGGCAAGGCAAGGCAAGGCAAGTTTATTTATATAGCACAATTCATACACAAGGCAATTCAAAGTGCTGAACAAAACAAGAAAGCATTAAAATCATAAATAATCACAGAACATTAAAAAGAAAGATACAAATATAAAATCCCTCAGTTGTATGCACAGCTAAACAGAACTGTCTTTAACCTGGCTTTAAACATTGTCAGAGAGGAGGCCTGTCTCACATCTCCAGGAAGACTGTTCCAGATTTTAGCAGCATGAATCTGAAAAGCAGCCTCCCCATGTTTAGTTCTGACTCTGGGCACTAACAGGAGTCCAGTCCCTGTGCTCCTCAGAGTCCGGGCTGGTTCATATGGGACTAACATGTCACTAATATATTTTGGTGCGAGGCCATGGAGAGACTTGTACACAAGCAGAGCTGTTTTAAAGTCTATTCTCTGAGCCACAGGAAGCCAGTGCAGAGACCTGAGGACCGGACTAATATGGTCGTACTTCCTGGTTCTTGTCAGGACTCGAGCTGCTGCATTTTGAATGTACTGCAGCTGTTTTACAGCCTGTTTGGAAAGACCTGTGAGCAGGCCATTGCAGTAGTCTAACCTACTGGAGACAAATGCATGGATAAGAATCTCCAAGTCTGCTTTAGACACTATGTTTTTGATCCTGGAAATGTTTTTTAGATGGTAAAAAGCTGCTGATGTTACTGATTTGATGTGGCTATTAAAATTTAGGTCTGAGTCCAGTATTACCCCTAGATTTCTGACCTTGTTTGAAGGTTTTAGGGAGAGAGACTGTAGGTGACAGATGACGCTCTCTCTTTGTTTCTGGGGACCAAAGACAATCATTTCAGTTTTGTCTGCGTTTAGCTGAAGGAAGTTGTTTTGCATCCACTCACTGATCTGTTGGATACAGTGAAGGAGTGAGTCCACTGGTCCATGTTCTCCTGCAGTCAGTGAGACATAGATCTGAGTGTCGTCTGCATAGTTATGATAGGAAACTTCGTTTCTGCGTATTAACTGACCTAACGGCAGCATGTAGAGATTGAACAGAAGAGGTCCCAGGATCGACCCCTGTGGTACTCCACAGGTCAGGGCCATATGATCTGAGACACAGTTTCCAATCTCCACAAAGTACTTCCTGTCCTCAAGGTAAGACCTAAACCAACTTTGGGCGGTGCCAGCGACTCCAACCCAGTCCTCTAATCTCTGTAAGAGGATCTCATGGTCGACGGTGTCAAAGGCAGCACTTAGATCTAACAAGATTAAGATTGAGACTTTGCCTGCGTCAGTGTTCAGCCGGATATCGTTTGTAACCTTGACGAGAGCAGTCTCAGTGCTGTGGTGGGGTCTAAAGCCGGACTGAAACATATCAAATGAGTTGTTGATTATAAGAAATCTAGTAAGCTGTAGGTAGACAACTTTTTCAAGGACTTTCCCCATAAATGGCAGATTTGAGATGGGACGATAGTTGTTAAGTACCGTAGCATCGAGACTGCTCTTTTTTAGTAGGGGCCTGATGACTGCAGTTTTCAGGGCCTTTGGGAATATTCCAGAATGAAGGGACATGTTTACTATCTGTGTGAGTGAAGGTAACAGACTGCTCAGAACAGACTTCAGAAATCTAGTGGGTAGTACATCCAAGCTGCATGTGGAGGAGCTCAAACTGGAGATTATCTCTTGGACAGTTTTATCATTTACAGGTGCAAAGTGAGTTAGCTCAGAGAGCCTTTCTGGCTGTTGGATGGTTATCTGTGGATTGGAGACAATGGCGTTTTTGATGCCTTTAACCTTGTCATTGAAAAAATTAGCAAACTCATTGCATTTACGTTTGGAAGTAAGCTCTAATGGCATTTGAACAGGGGGGTTTGTTAATCTATTAACTGTTGAAAACAGAACACGCAGATTGTTGCTGCAGCCTTCAATCATTTCAGAAAAATACCTTTCTCTCGTACTACGTAGCACCCGGTTAAACTCGCACAACTTATCTTTGAAGATCTCGTAATCAACCTGGAGGTTGGACTTGCGCCACTTCCGCTCGGCCCTCCGGCACTTTCTCTTTTGTGCCCTGACCGAGTCTGCTTTAGCCCACGGCGCCTTCTGCTTATTTTTCACTATTTTAACCTTCACAGGGGCAACGGTATCCAGAACATTCAAAACACTAGAGGTGACAGAGTTAAACAGTTCATCTACAGTAGAATACGATGCATTCTCAAAGTTTATCATTCCCATAAATAGTTCACTCGTATTTTCATTTATGTGTCTTCTTCGTACAGTTGCAGAGTCCACTGGTGGTTTGTTAGTGAAACACATGTAAAAAAAAACACAGAAATGATCCGAAAGAGCAACATCGACCACGTTTACATTTGAAATATTCACCCCCTTAGTAACTAACAGATCTAGAGTGTGCCCTCTGCTGTGGGTGGGGCCACTTACGTGCTGAGTGAGATCAAAGGATTCAAGTACAGTACTCAGCTCATTTGCATTTCTGTCATCAACATTATCCACATGAATATTAAAATCACCTGTAATAACCAAACTATCAAAATCTGTGCATACAACTGAAAGCAACTCGGTAAAATTATCAATAAAACTGTGACATGACTGCGGTGGCTTGTATAGGACAATGAAGAGTATTGGAGGAGATTGTTTTTGTTGTATTTTAAAAGACACATATTCAAAAGACGAAAACTTCCCAAGAGACATTCTATGGGAGACAAAGTGGTCTCTGAAAATGGCAGCTAAGCCTCCTCCTTTTTTGTTTTCCCGTATTTCAGATTCAAACTTGAAATTTGGTGGTGATGCTTCTATTAAAACTGCATTTCCTGAATTTTGGTCAAGCCAAGTTTCAGCCATGAACATAAGATCAAGATTATAAGAACAAATAAAATTCTTGATTAAAAAAGACTTGTTACAAAGAGATCTGACATTAAGCGTAGCAAGTTTCAAAGTTTCAGGATCAGCGGTTGTGGTCGGCTGATTCTTACACGGAACAAGAATTAGATTTTCCAGATTAGACTGATTAACTTCAGATGTTTTTCTGTTATGTATTCTTTGTGTTATCACTAAGGGAATGGCACAGGTGGCTTCATGACAGGGCCCCAGCCGGGTCTCTCCTCTAACTAGACTGCCAGTGGCTGCGAAGCAGAGACCCTGTGCATCCTAGTGTTTAGAGAAAAGAAGTATATACCTTTATACTTTCATAAACACATTTCTAAACATTTGACCCACTCACACATCCTCACAGTTTCAGTCTGGACTCTTCCTTTTCTGGTACTTGGTCTTACTCATAGTAATGTAACTGGTGACACATGTGTATCCATAGCAACATGTGACATAATAAGTGACATC